CCTCTTTATCCTTATGAAACGTGGGCTGCGATTTAACTGAGATGTTTAGAAAAGGCCTTTCAGGGAAGCCGACCAAACGTCTTCCGGCAAAGCTGACTGGGCAAAGGTGGAGGCTGACAATTGCCTGCACCAGAAGCAGCCAAAACGTCCCATTACAACTCAGGTTATCGCAACCCGAAACTTCAACCCTGGTTTTGCGTTAGCCCTAGAATAAGCCAATCCTAGCTCTACCCACAAATCCTGTGGGTTCTAGGCCCATCTGTCCTCTTGTCATGATACTTATCTTCCTTCCCTAAGCTCGAGCCACCTGGAGAGAACCTGCCCCCTCTTCCTCTAACCAGAGAGCTAGTGCCTACCTCAGGACCTGCACGTTCCTTTCCCTCTGCCAAGAATGCGGTCCCTGCTGTGCGGCGTCTAGTCAACTGGTCCTAAGTCTCGGCTTCCGTGGCACCTCCTCCACGCAGCACCACCTGATGATCCCAACTCACTTCTGGTTGCGTGTCCTGCATATTTCCTCCCGAGACAGCACGCAGCTGAGACAAATTTGTCATTGGATTGCAATTTCCCTGAGAGCACGGATGTCGTCTGCTTTGTCTCCCTGACCTAACCCTATAACATAGCAGGTGCTCAACGAATGTGCTTTGGACACATTCTTAAGTGGGACAATAGAGCCCAGGGCAGTGCCTGGAATGACTCAGACCCATAAACGCTGGTAAGAATGAGCATCATTCACAGTGGAGGGCGTCCCCAGAGGGTTCAGTCAGCTTCCCAGGGCTGCCCAGCTTCAGTGGGGCACATCTTCCATCTCCTTTAAAGGGGCAGGGCTGCCTCAAAGACCAAGTGGAAGGAGTATTTCCCTGCCTTGGTGGCCAGTGAGGAGGGGGTGGAGGCAAAAGGCAGCAGCCCCTTGGCTGCACAGTAGAGTCTCTCAAACTGGGAAACCCAGGATGGTGACAACCAAGTCTGGCTGGATGCTGCCCCTTCCCCCTGCGTTTTCTGTTCACAGCAGCAGGGCACGCCCCACGGCTCTGCAGCAGAAGTCATTGCCGCCCTTTCTGAGCCAGGATACTTTTCCATACCCCAGCCCGGCTCCATCTTTAAATAATTCAAAACACTGAGCCCTTGCACATTCCCGCAGGCTGGGCATCCTCCCGGGAAGCAGCTGGAATAGAAGAAAAGGTTGCCTCCGAACCCTGAGTTCAAGAGATGTCCGGAGCTTTTAATTTTGTTTGATTGATTTGATATCCTGCATCCTGGGAGCTGAGCTCAGTGTGATCCTGGCCGCTCTCCTCTCCCTGCTAAGCTGACAGTGAAGCAATGCATTGCAGGGCTCGGAAAAATAATAAAACGCTTTCTCTCCATAGTTCACCCAGCAGCCAGAAACTATTTTCAGGGAGAAGAGAAGGCCCCTGGCAGCTGCCTATGGGTCACCTGAGCTGTGTATCTTGCCAAACCCTCTTGCTGGGGCAGCCCCCACCTGCCCACTGAGGGGACTGTGCCATTTCATTCAGGGATGCTTGCCTAAAAAGAAGACAGGTGCTTTGGACCACTTGGTGCTCGATGGATATTTTTACGGAGAGGTCTCTCCTCCAATGTAACCCTCCACCCTTACCAATGAGAAAATGCACCACTGGATTCTCCCACTGTTATTCTTGCCTCCTCTAGGAAGCCATTCCTGTTCCAGGGACTTAATCCAGCTTCTTCCTAGCTCTGTGGCCTGAACACCAACCCACACCGTATGGGTACATTGCTCTCACTGGCTTAGCCCCCATCATTTGTCCTCATGAACCAAAAAGCATCCTGCAGGCTGGCCATTGGGCACCATGTCATATTCTTCCTGGTGGCCTAGACTGAGCCCAGGCTCCAACCATTCACAGCTGAAATTACAGAAAGGATGGCCAGGGAGTGGATACAACAGCTTCCCTCCTGATTCCTGATGGATGAGCCGGGTCAGTAAGGCAAGTTGGGCCCAGCTCTGGCCACCTCTCAGGCTTCTCCTGCAGGTGGGACATGCTGCCTACATGCCACGCCTCTAACAAGACAGACTCCTGTTTCCAGTGCTTTCTTCATGAGGTTGCTCCCCTTGGCCTGGCACTGATGGCCGCAAGTCCTGGCAGCTCCCCTCTGTCCAGCCCCACTCCCACCTCAGCCAAACTGGAGGGAAGCCCAGAGGGAGGATGAGTTACCTGGACCACCCAACCAAGCCATCAAGGGCCCCAGCGTGTCCAGCCTTGCTGTCTTCAGCTTTCTGGATGGTCCCCAGGTGGCCTCAGCAGTGCTAGAGTCCAAGGAAATATGTGAGCCCCGACATAGAGAAAGGTGCGTCCTCCCATGCACACCATTACATCATCGGCCTCTGCCTGCAGTTTTTCATGTGGGACCATGTCCCGTGTCCCCCTCAACACTGGACACAACTGCTCTGACCTCTCACTTCCCAGGACTGGGAGGGGCCCTTCCTGGATACACAGAAGAGTGAAATCCAAAGTAAATCAGCTCTTCCAGCAAAGAAGGGGCCGTGGTGGCCATGCTCCCCTGCTGGGGGGAGCGTCTATCCCTCCCTATCCCATCTCCAAAGCTGGCCCATCCGTTAAGACTCTGCTTACCCCGAAATCTCTGCAGAGGGCCCCTGAGCCCCCTCCCCTTCCCTGCCTATTCGCAGTGGACCTGTCCCAGAACTGTTGACACAGCAGCAGGCCAGCAAGTGGGATCTCCAGGCTGCAGCTGTGGATGCCCATTACCCTCAGCTGGTGGGACCCTGGGCCTCTCCCTGTGTGGTGTGCATCTTATCACTGCCCAGACCTTGTGTCCAAGGACGCCACCCTCCATGGGCATGTGGTGACTCTGGACTGTGCTGCCTGGGAGGGGGCCCACAAGGAGCTGTGAGCCGGCACTCAGGAGAAAGCACCAGGAGCAGTGGAGGAACTGTTGAAGCTGTAACTCTATGGAAGAGAACACCAAGGGACACAAGGCCTGGCCGCCAGGAGAGGCCACCTGTGAGTCCTCACCGGGCCCCAGACTCTAGCTAAGGGGCCCACTGTGGGCCCGGCCTCAGAGATGTCAGACTTAGTCTCGGCCTTGGGAATCCCACGTTCTCACAGGCTTCACATGGAGAGCCTTCTTGGCACTTGTCACCTGTGAAGGAGCTTCTGGGACCCCATTATCACCCCCTCCACAGTGGAAGCACTGCTGAGAGAGAACCCGGGGCCCATGGATGGCAGCACCCACCCCTGTGCATAGCTCAGAGGATGCCTTGTGTTTGGAAGCAACAGTCCAGATGTCTTCATGATCCTCGGGATGTTTGCCTTCTACTGTGCCTGGCACTACTGCAGAAGCAAAACTCACCAAACGGATGGAAACGGGCCCCCCAGAGCCATGCCTGTGGTGTGCAGGGGGCATTCAGTGAAAGCCACCATTGCTGCTCTACTCAACACGCTCCCACCTGTAAGCTCAGAAAGCTCAAGACCAGGAAGACGAGAAAGACCGTGGCAGGGAGTCCACATACCCCCAGGACGGAATGGACACTCAGGGACCTCCCCAGCGGGGACTGAGGCCGGCCAGGCAGGCGCAGCACGGAGCACCGGCTGATAGTCCAGGCAGAAGGATCAGGAGCCAGAAGGTCTGCAGCTCAGGGTGAGAGGTCAGAAGCAGGATGCTGCCACCTGGGCGGCACGGGTGGCAGTGAGATTCCTTCTCAGCCTAGAGTCTCTGGCCTCCAGGCTCAGGCTCAGGCTCAGGCTCACGTTCTGGCTTTGCTGCCCGCAACGTGTGACTTGGACTAGTCTCTGCAGCGCTAGAATCCTTGATCCTGGTGTGCGTTTAATGGAGATGGGAAGACAGGCTGCATCTTAAATTTGAGGATACAGTGAAATAAAAATGATAAGTATGCCCAGCATAGTAAGTGTTCAAGACACAACAGTGGCGAAACCAAGAACGGGAGGCTGACTTTCCATCCACGGATTGTGAGTTTGACTTTCTTTCCTTTCTTTCTTTTTTCGTTGGGGGAAGGGGGATGGTATTTTGCTCTTGTTGCCCAGGCTGGAGTGCAATGGCATGATCCTGGCTCACTGTAACCTCTGCCTTCAGGTTCAAGCCATTCTCCTGTCTCCGTCTCCTGAGTAGCTGAGATTACAGGTGTGCACCACCACAGTCAGTTAATTTTGTACTTTTATTAGAGATGGGGTTTCTCTGTGTTGGTTAGGCTGGTCTCAAACTCCCGACCTCAGGTGATCTGCCTGCCTCAACCTCCCGAAGTGCTGGGATTACAGGCAAGAGCCACCACGCCTGATGGAGTTTGACTTTCTCAGAGCTGTCGGTGGGACATGTCTCCTGATTTCTCCAAAGGTGGGTGAAGCCAGTGATGACCTGAGCCAGTGGCTCTGAGGAACTCTGACCAAGGATGATGAATGTGAATTTCACCATAAGGAAGGAGCAAGTGGGAAAGCCCTGGGAACAGCCAAGCCTGAAGGGAGGGAGGAAGGGAAAGGTATGGGCTGCAGGCAGGGGGTGGGAGCCAGTCAGACACAACACAGGTGCGGATGGGGAGACGGGCAAATGGACATGGCACCAATATCGCGCGGGTTCATTTCCAATCCCAGAGCCCTAGAGAAAGCATCCACCCAGATGCCTGGCCCAACTTGCCACTCTGGGGGGGCTTCCTTTTATCTCTGAAGAGGGAATGCCCACCTCTCCAGGACGGGCACTCGCTTGGAAGGGCCTTCCTGGCCCCCGCAGACTTAAGCCACAGAACTGGGTGAGTCGGAGGAGCTACTCCTCCCTCAGGACAAGGTGCTTCAGGCCCCAAATCTGAGTCTGCAGAAAGGACACCATCCAAAGCAGCGGGGCACTCCAGAAGGACCCTCTCTGGATATTTTGAAACATATTTTGCATCTCTGCTTCAAGGAGCCCCAAGCTCTGTGGCAGTGATCTGATGTCACAGAGGCACACTGTTCTCTCAAGGCTGGTTTTCTTAGAACAGAAACCAGAAAAGTGGGCTGGCCACGGCTTCTTCTCAGGACGCATAACTAGAAGCATCGGCGTCGTTCTCCTGGTGCCCAAGCCCCTCGTGCGTGTCCACAACCTCCCACCTGAACACGTGGACCGGACGCATCTCAGAGTCAGAGTCTTCTGGAAAAGGAAACAGGTGCACTCTCCCCGCGAGGTCCTGCACTGCATCAGGTGAGCTCCTCCCATCAGCAGCTAACACACCTGCAGCAGAACACGTCAGTGGCCCCCACACACAGGATCAATGACGGCTATTTATGACTTGGGGGCATTTCAGAGCAGCTCTTCCTGCCAGAGGAATTCCCTTTTGTTCTGTGCGGAAAGCCAGTTGCTAACCGCAGGCCTGTGGCGGGCAGCGTTCGTTTGTGAGTTTGCTGCATTTTGAGGGTGTCCCCGGGGGATTCATTGTCTGTACCAGCCGGGGTGCTGTGCAACTTGTAAGTATTTATCTTAGTGGGACAAATCCCCTTCCTTTCTATTTTTTAATTTTGACCTGGATTTTTTTTTAAATTTATTTTACTTTAGGTGCATACTGTATCTGGCATTTCTCCCATGTTATCCCTCCCCGCCCTCCCCTCCCTCCCCACCCCCCGTTGTCTCTCCCCTCCACCCCCCCAACTCTCCCCTGTGTGTGATGCTCCTCTCCCTGAGTCCACGTGTTCTCGTTGTTCAACACCCACCTATGAGTGAGAACATACAGTGCTTGGCTTTCTGTTCTTGGGTCAGTTTGCTGAGAATGATGCATTGCAGCCCTGTGTACAATAGCAAAGACCTGGAACCAACCCAAATGCCCATCAGTGATAGACCGGACAAAGAAAATGTGGTACATATACACCGTGGAATACTACGCAGCCATAAAAAATGATGAGTTCCTGTCCTTTGTAGGGACTCGGATGAATTTGACCTGGATTTTTTTTTTAGTCATTTATTCTGTTCAGATATGAGGATAAACTTGTCCTCTGATATGAAAAATTCTGTTACAATTTTGTTTTGTTTCTTTAACTTTTATTTTAGGTTCAGGGGTATAAGTGCAGGTTTGCGATATGTGTGAACTCTTCTCACAGGGGTTTGTTGTACAGATTATTTCATCATCCAGGTAGCAAGCCTGGTACCCTAGAGTCAGCTGCATGCTCCTCTCCCTCCCCGCAACCTCAAGTAGGGCCCAATGTCTGTTGTTCCCCTGTTTGTGTCCGTGGGTTCTCATCATTTAGCTCCCACTTATAGGTGAGAACATTTCTTATTTGGTTTTCTGTTCCTGCGTTATTTTGCTAAGGATGATGGTCTCCAGCTCCATCCATGTCCCGGCAAAGGACATGATCTCATTCCTTGTGATGGCTGCATAGTGTTCCATGGTGTGTATAGAACACACACCATAGTATTTACAGTATTCCATGGGCTACTCTGCAGCCATAAAAATAAACGCGCTCACGTCCTATTCCACATATGCCATGGAATACTATGGTACATATGGCCTAGCTCCCAACCACATATAATTGAGTTGATATGTCCACTTGGGGAGAATTGTCATTGTTAGAACCTTGGGAATAACCACCCAAGACCAGGGTGTATGTCTGTGATTTCTTCAAGTTCTCCTTTACGCTTCTCAATGGAAGTTTATTATTTTCTTTAAAAATTACTTAATAATTTTGGCCGTTTACTAAGCAACACAATTTTCATTGCTTCTGTGATGGTTATTACAGCTTCTAATTGATCGAAGCCGTTATGCATGAACAATATGGCTTTGTACATGTTGCTAGATCTTGTACCTAGAGAGCTCAGTGAACTTGCCTAGTCTACATAAACCTACACTATATAAACATTCATATAATCTGCAAATAATAACAAATTGGCTTCCTCCTCTCTGGGATTCATAAACCATCCACCCTACTCTCTTTCTTCAAAAGGCTGTTGAGAGAAAAACTTTGATCTTGCCCCTGCCTTTGAAAAGTACTGACCTAGATAGAGTCACCGTTGGCATGATATTTGGGTGGTTAGAAGCACTTATACATTCAGAATCTTTCTATGATGTCCCTAATCTGCTGAAATACTAAGATATTGAAGTGCATTGGTTGGCTGAATCGGTCATTTCAAATACTACGGAGTTACATATTTTATTAAATGCTTCTTTTGTCAATTGGGATGATAAGTACTTTTTCTTCTTAATTTCTTAATATGACCAATTATATTAATGGATTTTTCCTAATGTTATAAGCTCATTGCATTCATGAAATAAACTTGGAATAAATACTAACGTATATTAATTATATATATATTCATACACACACACACACACACACACACACACACACACACATGGAATTTTTACATAGTCCTGAATTCAATTTATTATATTTTCAGGACATTAGCATCAACTTTCACAACAAAAATTAACCTAGCATTTTATTTTTTGTATCATACTTGTCCAGTTTTGGTGTCAAGGACATTGTCTTCCAGAAAGGTCTGGGAAGATTTCTGACTTTATTTCCCTCTGTGTTAAGGGTAATTATTATGATCATATATAGAGAATTTAAAGAGGCATATTTAAAACAAAATGATATAAACAGATAATGTGTATATTTTATGAGGTAGAGCAGATGTCTTAATACTGATGTCACAAGGACTTCAAGGTAACGATCATGAAGCACCAGTTTAGCAGCAATGTTTTATTTCTTTTGTTAAAAATGGGAAGTTGAAAAGTATCACAGCGTTCACCTCCACCAGTTAGCAGAACAAACATTAGTCTGAACACAGGCACACACTCCCCAAAACAAAACAAAAGGAAATTTAGACGAACAGAAGTTGCAAAATTAAAAGCAGAAATTAGTAAAATGTGAAAACATAACAGAGAAAGCCAACAAAGCCAAAAGAGGCTTATCTGAAATAGTGAATGAAATAGACACCACTCTGTGACATCTTCTGTTTATATCATGTTGTTTTAAATATGTCTCTTTAAATTCTCTGTGTATGATCACAATGATCACCCTTAACTCCACCTACTCAGAGCTGGTGAAGACGTTTGACCATGCTCATTCTAAAAGACATGTATTTTTCAATTTGAAATTTAGACCCCAAGTCTAAGAGATTGTTTTTTGAGTTTGGTACAAAGTCGTTCTTCAAATTCTTTCTTTTATATACAGACATCCGATTGACCAATAGCTGGTCAGAAACCATCGTATTTTTTTAGCACATGTATTCAGCCTAACATTTTTCTAAAAGTCATAATAAATAGTTTTCCTTCTAGTGAAGAAAATAAGACGTTTAGCAGACTTTTGGTCTCTCCTCACTCCTTTCCTGCCTGATTCTCACACTGCCACGTGAAGATCCTGCTCTTTAGTATGTAAAATATGTTCCTAGTTCTGTATATCACATCTAGAAATCGGTTTAAAATTAACTACGACGTTCTCTTTCTTTTCTTGCCATTATTCTTGGTCCCACGTTCCTTTTCCTTATCAGACTCATGATTTTTGTTAGTTTACTATTGTTTTGTTTAGATGTATATATTATTTTTCAAAAGAGCCCATAGAGGGTAAATTGATTTTCTGAGATCTTTACGCATGAAAATCGGTTATTTTGCTCCCCTATTTGAATAATAGTTTGTCTGAGCATAGAATTATAGACTCAAAATACTTTCAGCTCTTGGAAGTCATTTTCTCTGAAGGTGTGATGTGGCCATTAGAAACTTATCGCTAAGAGGAGGCTGCTTTCGTGCCAGGAATCTCTTTTTGGTGCTGTTATGCTATAAAAGATCTGGGGATCGTTTCTTAACTTTTGAAGTTCTTTATTTAGAATGTATCTAAGTGCTTGCATTTTTTTTCTTTCATCTATTTTGTCCCAAAATAGACTCTTTTTAATCTAAAAATGCACGACTTTCCCTCAATTCAGGGAAACATTCTTGTTTCCATCTGTGAGCATTTCCTTCCTTCTAATCTCCTTCCTCCTCTGTCTCACTCTCTCTGGGTAAAACTCCGCCACCCCGTCATCGAGATGAATGATTCAGTGTTTGGCCATTCTGCTACTCAGATATATCTCAAGTCTTTTATAAATTTCCAAGAATTCTGATCAATTTTATTCCTCATGTTTCCTTTTTGTTTTTTTCTTTTTACTTCTCAGGATGTGATCGGGGAATTTACCCTGAATACACCCCAGCTTGGCGGCCTTCCTGAAGACAGCAGAGGGTCCCGCCCTCCCGTGTCTCCTTCCATTCCCTCCCCTTGTTCTGTATTTCTCCTTGATATGTCCTAACCCTTCATATTCTGAGGCCACGTAGGATATTCTGGCACGTGTAAACAATGTGAAACTGCGATATCCATCCCTAACGTTCATCTTTGCCTTGTGTTGGGAGCAGTACAGTTCTTTTCCTCGGCTGTTTTGAAATAGACAATAAATTATGGTGAACGATAATTTCCTACTGTGGTATGGAACACTGGGGCACTGCAGCTGTGTTAGGCACGCTCCACCCTCCTGTTCAGCCTCACTCTCGGGTGACCAGTCTCCACCACCCCTCCCCGGCCCCGCGCACATCACGACATCATGATAAGAACTGCACTGGCTGAAGCTGAAAAGTGACATCCTCACGATCTCCATTTTATAGGAAAAATTCAGGCCCACGGAGGCGGACTCCGGAGCACACTCTGCTGTGACGCTTCGCAGCCCCCGGCCCTTTCTTTTGTTGAGAAGCCAGTTAGTTCTAGCTGGGCCCGCTCCAGTTAGTTCCATGGCCCTGGGGACTGCGCCTACGCCCCTCTGCCTGCCTCTTGGGCACAGGGTTTTGCCTTGTCTTTGCAGTGGCTTTTCCTGCTGTTCTCCGTGTGTAGTTTGCTGATCCTACCCCTTCTCCTGAGAAATCGTGCAGCCTCTTTGTCTCTTTCATGGTGTCTCTTGCTGGTTATACACGTACTCTCCCTTACTCTGTCATCTTTACGGAATTTTGGGGACAGAGGATGTGACTGCTCTTCTTGATGGCCCGCTTTGGTCCCAAAGTCATCTTCCGAAAGGTACCATGAGCTCTTTAGAGAGTTCTGCAGGTCCCAGTGATTCCAGTCCCTAGTCTGGACCACCTAACTCAGCCCAGGCACCCTTTTGGGTCATTAACAGCCTCCCCGTCCTGGGGCTTCCCATGGCCTTTATTCACCCAGCTAGTCCCTGCCCCAGTGGTAAAGCTCAGCTCCTAAACA